GAGAGAGAGAGAGAGAGTTAGTTTTAACCGCCGCTGTTGAATAAGAAGAATACGTTGGGCGCATGTGGGGTCTTTTCCCCCCGCCACTGAAAAAGAGTTTCCAGTGTGCATGCTGTGTGTGTGTGTGTGTGTGTGTGTGTGTGTGTGTGAGAGAGAGAGAGAGAGAGAGAGAGAGAGTTTCCGGCGTCCCCCCTTCCCCTTCGGCTCCTCCGCGAACCCCATTCCGCCTCCTCCACTCCCCTGCCCTCCTCCTCAGCACCCCCTCTTTGTCCGTCGAACCCTACTTGGTTCGACCTCCCTCATTCATTACCCTCTCCCTCCGTCTCTTCCCCGCACGAAATGTGTTCGTTTTGTTTTTCCCTTCTTCATCCCTCCATACTCCGTCCCTCCTTTCTCTTTCGTCCCGCCTCCCTCCAGGCTTTCTGAACGCCCGATCTACGAATTGTCTGTTGCTTTCTTTTTCCATTCTTTCCCTAACGACGTTTCCCCCTGAATTTGGCTTTTGGTCCAAATGACGGGGTGTGTGCGCCTGTGTGCGCTCCCACTGAAGAGTGCGAGCGAGCGCGCGCGCGCGAGATAGAGATAGATAGATAGATAGAGAGAGAGAGAGAGATGTTTCGGTACTATAAAAGGCGGAGGTGGAGGGACGAAAATAGGGTCGCAAGATAAGAAACTACGGGGTCTTAACGAATTCTTCACCCCTCCTCTTGCTGATCTTTTCCCGCCATAGTCCCTTCACCTTACTCCTCCCTTCGAACGAGAGAGAGAAAAAGAGAGAGAAAAAGAGAGAGAGAGAGAGAGAGAGAGAGAGAGAGAGAGAGAGAGAGAGAGAGAGAGAGCAAATGGAGCCGCAGTGGGAGGGGAAAGAGGAGGAGGGAACCTGAGGGGGAGGGTGAAAGCAAGCGAGAGAGAGAGAGAGAGAGAGAGAGAGAGAGAGAGAGAGAGAGCAAATGGAGCCGCAGTGGGAGGGGAAAGAGGAGGGGGGAACCTGAGGGGAGGGTGAAAGCGAGAGAGCGGGGGAGAGAGAGAGAGAGGGAGGGAGAGAGAGACAGAGAGAGAGACCCACCCGCCCCGACGATCAAGTGTAGCATGTGCTCCGATCAGTTTCATATCTGATCCGTGGTCCGTTGAGACTCACAAAAAAAAGAAAAAGGCACACTCATGCGCGCGCGTGCGCGCGCGCGCGAGAGAGAGGACCCGATCTAATAACTATGCGGCTCCCCCCCCCTGGCCCCCACACGGTCAAGTGCAGTATCTTCTTCGATCACTTTCATATCGGATCCTGCCCCTACACGATCAAGCGTAGCATCTGCTCCGTTCAGTTTCATATCTGATCCGTGGTCTATCGAGGCCTTTTTATTTAAAAGAAAAACGCATGCGCGCGCGCCTGCGTGAGAGAGAGAGAGAGAGAGAGAGAGAATCCAATCGAACTAACTATGCCCCCCCCCCCCACACACACACACGCACACGATCAAGTGTAGCATATGTTTCAATCAGTTTCATATTCGATCCTCCCCCCCACATGATCAAGCGTAGCATCTGCTCCGATCAGTTTCATATCTGATCCTTGGTCCATCTAGGCCTTTTTATTGAGGCCTTTTTATTTTAAGAAAGAAAAAAAAGCATGCGTGCGCGCGAGCGAGCGAGAGAGAGAGAGAGAGAGAGAGGTCTGTCGAGATGGTTTAAAAGGGTGCATGCAAGACGTGGGAGGGAGGGAGGAAGGGAGGAAGGGGGAGAGAGAGAGAGAGAGAGAGAGAGAGAGAGAGAACCCAATATAACCAACTACGCCCCTCTCCCCCCCTCCCCCCCGCACAACACACGATCAAGTGCAATATCTGCTTCGATCAGATCCGTGGTTCACGAGACAATTAAAAAGAAAAGAAAAAACAAGGGGGCGCAAGACGCGGGAGAGAGATTGTAGAGTGAGAGAGAGCGAGAGAGAGAGTGAGAGAGAGAGGCCCCAATCTA